TAATCATGCTAGCAACATGCTAGTTACTTGTTAATCATGCTAGCAACATGCTAGTTACTTGTTAATCATGCTAGCAACATGCTAGTAGATGTAGCGCATGATCCTGATCTATTCTGACTGATTCAGCAGTGCATGTTATTCTAGAGAAACAGAGGATGTTTGTTCTTATAGATCATCATTAAAATAATAACCTTTTCCACTGACGTGATCAATCTATTCTCCTGGAACATGTACAGAGAAAGGGTTTGTTTTTTATTATGAGCAATAACAGATACTGATTATAACGGGCTTATATTAATATATATATTTTTATTATATTTGGATAGTATAACCAAATTTAATTAAAATAGATTTGAAAAGATAGGATAATTAATATTAATATATAAGTTTTATATAGCGTGTATATATAAAATAAATAATATATAATTTATTATTATTATTATTATTATTTTGTATGTTCAGGTGGGAAAGTTGCAGTTGTTCTGCATTTTGTGTTGATCCTTTGGATAATATAAAAAAATGTAATAAAAATAGAATTGAAAAAAGGAATAATTATTAGGAATTAAAAATGTATGTTATGTAATTAATGTTATACATATTTATAACTTAATTCTAACCTCATTCTAACTTATTAGATATGTTCAGTTGAGAAAGTTATTGTTCTGTACTTTGTGTTGATCCTTTGGATAGTATAACAAAATGTAATAAAAAAAAACAGTTGAAAAAATAATGTTAATATAAATAATTAATATTAATATTATATTATATGTAATTATTATTTTTATAACTATTATATACGTTCAAGAGGGAAAGTTGTAATTGTTCTGTTTTTGATGTTGATCCTTTGGACAGTATAGCAAAATGTAATGAAAATAGAATTTAAAAAATAACGTGTGTAGGGTCAGCTGTGATGCTGATTTGAGCTTATTTTGAATTTATTTCTTATATTTATTACAATATATTTTTCATTTCTTTGAGTGACTTGTGTGTGTGTGTGTGTGTGTTTTAAGGCATGAGCACGGTTCACGAGGTGATCGTGGCGCGTCACTGCGGGATGAGGGTCGTGGCTCTGTCTCTGATCACCAATCAGGCGGTGATGGATTACGACAGCGAGAAGAAAGCCAATCACGAGGAGGTTCTGCAGACGGGCGAGCTGAGAGCGCAGCAGATGGAGAAACTCGTCTCCACCATGGTCTCCCGCATGAGCTGCGAAACAACAAGACACTAAAGCACTGACCGCCAACACATCCACATGCACATCGCTAGACAAGAATGCTAGTCATAGATGTCGGTTTTTCTTTTACAATGTTTACAGGAACAAAGTGTTTTAGGAAACATTTCCCATCAAACAAAGCACTGCTGCTCCTGTCATCGCCAAAGTTATTTTAGTTTAAACTGATCATGGTATCATTGTTTTAATGTGTATTTATTGTGTCCAAACGTCTTAAAAGTGATTTATTTAAAACTTAAGTTAAATAACACATAAGTCCATTCGTGAAGAAAATAGTTTTAAAAAGAAGCACTGTTACGGAATTCGCTGTGAGGTATTGAAGGTAAAGATGACTGTATTTAATGCAACTTATTTATGTAAACGAGCTTAAACTGTAAGGTTTTTGAAGTTGTTTTAAATTGCACTAAATGATGGAGTATATTGGTGTTTTATGTGTCAGTTTTAAGACCTGAATTGCTGTTTTACTGACTTTAACCAGCACTTTTCCCAAAAACATTTATTTTATTGACCTGAACTTTGAAATTGCACTTCAAGCTTTGTGTTTCGTAGTTGTTTCTATGATCTGCTTCAATGCAATTAAAACGATGTTGCTGTACCAGCAGTTTTCTTGGTTTGACATTGTGCTACTGTAATTTTCCTACATCTTTCTAACCTTTTAACACGTTGTATGCTTTTTTAGCTGGTTTTTTTTTACTGAATCAACTGGTTTTTAGCTGTTTTTGCTAATTGAGCTGGTTTTAGTTTTAGTTTTTTTTTTTTTCATCTGGTTTTAGCTGTTTTTTTTTACTGAATCAGCTGGCTTTAACTGGTTTTAACTGGTTTTGTGCTAAATCATGCTCCTAACATGATTAGTGACTGTAAGCAACCAGCCCAAGTACCATAGTAACTGCATATCAACACCCTATCGACCACTCCGAGTATGTTAGCAACTGCATAACAACACCCTAGCAACTACTCTGGGTACCCCAGACACCGCCCTGGGTAACCTAGCAACCACATAGCAACACCTTAGCAACCACCTCAGGTACCCTAGCAACCACATAGTAACACCCTAACAACCACCCCAGGCACCCTAGCAAGTGCATAGCAACCACCCCAGGCACCCAAGCAACCACATAGCAACACCCTAGCAACCACCCTGGGTACCTTAGCAACCGCATAGCAACAACCAAGCAACCACCCTGAATACCCTAGCAACCACATAGCAGCACCCTAGCAATCATCCCGGGTACCTTAGCAACTGCATAGCAACACCCTAGCAACCATGCCAAGTGCCCTAGCAATCACATAGCAATACCTTAGCAACCACCCCGGGTACCCTAGAAGCACCCTAGGAACCACCTTGAGTACCCTAGCAACCTCATAGCAACACCCTAGCAACCACCCCAGCCCTATAGCAATCTGTCTTTTTGTTTTCCTGATAGACTGTATTGCCTTTAAAACATTCAAATTTAATCTTTAAGACTATTTTAAATTTCAAACTACTTAAAACGTCAAGCTTTTATTCAAACTTTTTCAAACTTTCTGGCTTGAGGCGCCTCTGTTTTCCATCCAATTCCAGTTTCCTCAAACTCTCCTTACAAATAATTTCCGTGACATCACACATCAATTCTTGTCCATAAATGGCTAAAATGTCCTTCCTTCTTTTGAACAGACATTTCTCATAACTTTTTTTCTACCATTCAATGAAGATAATACAGGCTAGATATTACTAGTGTAAACCTTGTTTTGTTTTTATGTGACTTTAGTTTTGTTTTTATTGCAGCCATAAAAATACAGTGAATCTGTAAACAAATAAATGCATGCAACAGGCCTGCACATTTCGCATATGATAGAAAATATGTAAATAATCAGACCTGTACACAAATAATCAGTGATGTCAGTTCATCTCTGAAACAGGCTCACTGTGTCCCTCTAGTGGATGTAGTGGACTTAAAGGAAAAGACGGGTACTTTTAAGTTATAAATAAACCAATATGTGCATATCTTACATTAAACATGTTTATAAATTAATATAAATGCATTTTTATACAGCCACTGGACATCATTTTGCGAGCAGCAGAGGTCTGATGCATCAATATTTGAGTTGAGTTTCGTTTCTGTAAGTCCTGTATCTATCTATCTATCTATCTATCTATCTATCTATCTATCTATCTATCTATCTAACCTAGCACCCTACACCCTAGCAACTGCCTTGTGTACCCTAGCAACTGCCTAGCAACACCCTAGCAACCACCCTGGGTACCTTAGCAACCGCATAGCAACAACCAAGCAACCACCCTGAATACCCTAGCAACCACATAGCAGCACCCTAGCAATCATCCCGGGTACCTTAGCAACTGCATAGCAACACCCTAGCAACCATGCCAAGTTCCCTAGCAATCACATAGCAATACCTTAGCAACCACCCCGGGTACCCTAGAAGCACCCTAGGAACCACCTTGAGTACCCTAGCAACCTCATAGCAACACCCTAGCAACCACCCCAGCCCTATAGCAATCTGTCTTTTTGTTTTCCTGATAGACTGTATTGCCTTTAAAACATTCAAATTTAATCTTTAAGACTATTTTAAATTTCAAACTACTTAAAACGTCAAGCTTTTATTCAAACTTTTTCAAACTTTCTGGCTTGAGGCGCCTCTGTTTTCCATCCAATTCCAGTTTCCTCAAACTCTCCTTACAAATAATTTCCGTGACATCACACATCAATTCTTGTCCATAAATGGCTAAAATGTCCTTCCTTCTTTTGAACAGACATTTCTCATAACTTTTTTTCTACCATTCAATGAAGATAATACAGGCTAGATATTACTAGTGTAAACCTTGTTTTGTTTTTATGTGACTTTAGTTTTGTTTTTATTGCAGCCATAAAAATACAGTGAATCTGTAAACAAATAAATGCATGCAACAGGCCTGCACATTTCGCATATGATAGAAAATATGTAAATAATCAGACCTGTACACAAATAATCAGTGATGTCAGTTCATCTCTGAAACAGGCTCACTGTGTCCCTCTAGTGGATGTAGTGGACTTAAAGGAAAAGACAGGTACTTTTAAGTTATAAATAAACCAATATGTGCATATCTTACATTAAACATGTTTATAAATTAATATAAATGCATTTTTATACAGCCACTGGACATCATTTTGCGAGCAGCAGAGGTCTGATGCATCAATATTTGAGTTGAGTTTCGTTTCTGTAAGTCCTGCCCATCATAAACCAGTCCAACTAGAAAAACACGACAACCACACGCACTGAGAAACTCAACCAGCAAACATGTCCAACGAAGGTAATTAAGCATAATTTATTCATAACGATTATAGGAATTTAAACAGGTTTGTTATTATATTTGTTTGTTTGGAAAAACCCTGATAAGGAGCACGTATTCATTATAGGTTGTTTTATGCTGTAAATGTATTTATCTTTCACAGTGAACTAAATCACGATTGTAGGATATAATTTTAATAATGATGTAATCATACTTCATCATATTTGCTGAATGAAAATCAATTGTTTTTTAAATGAATTTTGGGCTGCTAATTCCAAAAACAGTTATAATAATTTTGCTTTTTCATGTCACACTTTCTCACTAAATATGATGCATTTCGTTGCATTTTTGCTTTTACAACCATTTGTACGGTGAATTAGTTTCATATTCTCCTTTACTTAACAGAAAAAAAACACCTGATTCCTGTCTGAATCGGAGCCAGGTTCCAGCTATTTGTTCAGTTGCAAGCAGAGGATCTAATTGCAGTGATCAAACACAAACTAAATGAAATAAAACAAGATGCACAGGAGAAAAGAAAGCACCTTTACATAGACAACACTGGACGAAACCGAAAGCAAACACAGGGCTATAAACACACAGGATAATAACAAGCCGAATACACACAAGACACAGGTGGAATTAATTAATGAACAAAATAGTAACCAAGACAACAAGATGACAAACAGAAACCAAGCAAACAAGACGCAGGGAAATGTAGAACTATACTACTTTACACATTACTTTATGCCTTATCCACTCTTTTGCAGATTGTATGTTAAATTATGCATTTTGAATGCTTATTTTTGTCATTAAAATTATTTTCAAGATGCAGGACTGTTATTTTGCTTGATACTTTGATTTGACATGATCACTTTTTCATCAGGAGCAGATGTTCAGAGCAGAAACTCAAAACCGAGGAAGAGACCCGCTCAGAGCTCTCTATCGGGTTCTGGTTCCAGCGATCCGCTCGCAGTGAATCCAGTGCCAGATGAACTGCGTCTGGTTCTGCTGGGAAGAACCGGTGCGGGGAAAAGTGCAACGGGAAACACCATCCTGGGAGAAGATCGATTTGATGCTGAAGTGAGCATGAGTTCAGTCACTAAAGAGTGCAGGAGAGAACGTGGAACAGTGGAAGGACGAAAGCTCGTTCTTGTGGACACACCTGGGCTTTTTGACACCGATCTGACAACTGAAGAACTGCGACAGGAGGTAATACATTGCCTGGCCTTGAGTTCTCCTGGTCCTCATGCATTTCTGCTCATCATACCGATAGATCGATATACAGAGGAGCAGCAGCGCACCGTAGAAATGATTCTGGAGATGTTTTGTGAGGACATCAGCCATCACAGCATCCTGATATTCTCACACGCCGACAGACTCAGAGGAGAATCCATTAGAGAGTTTATTTCAAGACAAAATCCAAAAGTTCAAGACCTCGTGGAGAGATTTGAGAGGCGTTTCATGGCCTTTGACAACACAAACCTTACAAACCGAGAACAAGTGAGTCGACTCCTGCAGAAAGTGGATAAACTGCTGGCTGTGAATGAGAACCGTCACTTCACTAATGTAGTCACAGAGGCCATGCAGAAAGCCCAGAAGATAATAGAAGAGAGAATGCAAGCAGAAACGGCTGAAAGAACGAGGAAAATAAAGCAGGAGGTCAAGAAAATGGCTGATGCTCGTTGGCGTGCGTTCACTTCTTACATGAATGAAGAGAAGCAAGAAACTGAACGAAGAAGGAAACGCATTCAAGTCAGGATTGATCAGATTAACACGGACATATTGAAAGAAGATCAGAACGTGGAGCCGATCCCAGCAAGACTGAGACGGTTCACAGAGTCTCTGCAGACGGAGCTGGAGAACATGAGACGACTGGAGGAAAGAGAGATGGAGGAGGAGAGAGAGAGAAAGAAGAGAGAAGAGAAAGAACAGAAGGACCTGGACATCTGGATCCAAGAAGAGGAGCAGAGGAGGCTGAGCGAAGGAGGACCGAAGAATCTACTTTCTCCAGATCATATTAAAATGCTGACTTTGCTTTCCATGTTTTTGCTGGGCGTTGGGGCATCATTTGCACCCGCTCTCTTACCATTCCTGTTCCCTGCAGCTCCGGCGGTGGAAGCCGGGTTGGCATCGTCGATTTTGTCCAAATTGTTAGCTGCAGAAGGATGGGGTTTCGTTTGGGTGGTTGCTGGAGTCGCCAAAGCCGCAGTGTTGACCCGCTGCTCCATCCAGTGACCCGTCCATCATTTATATAGCCCCATTAACAACAGCAGCAGCTGACCAATGTGCTTTACAACAGCAGATAAAACTGATTAAAAAAAAAAATCACAGCTAAAAACAAATTATATCAGCATTATATCAGCAAAATGAAATTTACTGTGTGAGAAAAATTCAAGTTTACAGAGTTTTAGTATCAGTGCTACATTAAACTACTATATATAGACCTGGTTTCACAGACAGGGCTTAGACTAAGCCAGGATTAGGCCAAGATCTTTTTTATGCCCAAACATGCACACTACACACTGACTAAAATTTAAAAAGTGAAAAAGCATAATAGCACCCCTTTAACATGCCTTAGAAAAAACATAACTGGTGTGCGACAAAACAAAGGCACTGATATTTTTTAACATCAGTCAGTGCAAGTTTCTTTCAGTTGAAACAGCTCAGACTTACACTTTAGTCTAGGCTTAAGTAGGGCTGGGCGATAATTCGATAACGATAATTATCGCGATATAATTTTCCTCAATACAACGGTATGAAGAGTTCGGTAAATGTTTGATATAATGTTATTATTTTTTTTGTTAAATAAACAAAATCACTGATAAATAAAACACACCTTAGTATCGATATTTTTTGTTTGAGTATCGATACTTTTCGATACTCGCGTCAGTACGATATAGCGAATATAGCGAAACAGCGCTGTGAGATCCAGTGTGAAGCGCTTGAACTCAGCAAGGAACACAAATGACTCGGTGATTTAAACTAGTTTGAAGCCAAACAGGAGAAACACTGTGTGCAACGAACGAGACAGTCAGAAGGCTACTGTTTTTCATAGTTATATTTTTACCATGGAATTGGGGTGCTATATGTGTGGTTTTAACTGTGTTTATCATGATTTAAATGTATGTTACTATGGGAGACCAATGCTTAATTTAAAAAAAATTACAAAAAAAAAAATCCTTGGTCAGAATAAATGTAACCATTTAAAACTGAGGTTGCTACAATTTTTACAGATGTTACTGATTTTGATAATGCACAAAAATTTAGCTCTGCATCCTAACTCAAGATACTATCAAATGTGCATTTCTAAGAGACAAAAAAAGTGATATTATTATTATTAATATTATCAGGCAACCCAAAGCTGTTTCTTGATTTGAAACAATATCACTCATTAGAACACGCAGAAACTAAGAAATTAATTTTTCTATTTAGATTTATTTTTTTTTTGTTAAGGAAAATTAATGGTCTGGTTTCTACAACTTTCACTTTGGAGCAAAAATCTAGCTTTACACTTGAAATAAATAAAGATTTGACATGTATCGTGATAATTATCGATATTGTCTGATTAAAATTATCGTGATCATTTTTTTGGCCATATCGCCCAGCCCTAGGCTTAAGCCTTGTGTGTGAAACCGGGGGATAATGTATAATAATGCAGTGGGGGAATATTTGTGGGTCCTGGTAATGCAAAACGTCTCATGTTAGGAGTAAAAAGTGGCCTACATTATTTTAAATAAATCTAGTCAGTGACAGAGTGCAAGCATATTCGTCTCAAATAATAACTCTGTATTTTCGGCTTCAGAATCATGAATATTTTTATTCTGGTGTCACCGTTGTCCTGTGCAATGAGTTACCAGAACCAAGTCCAAGCCTATTAATCCCCCCCCCACACACACATTTTCTGTTAACCTTGGCGTATCGCAGTAATATTGTATTGTGAGTTCAGTATGGTGATATGTATCGAATCGTGAAATGAGTGTATCATTACACTGTTAGTTTATAGTGATTGTATCCACCTGTATTCCTCTAAATCAAGTCAAGGCATGTGTATCGTGTCTCTGGACTTTATTATGTAACGTGGCATATTAGTGTATATTGCATAATTAATCCATGGATTAATATACAATTAAAACCCTATGGAATTAATTTTTAAAAATACACTTTGGTTTCCAGGTTCTTTTTTTTTTTTTTTTTACTTTTTTTTACCCAAATTGATTAGTTAAGCTTGTTGGTGATATATGAATTTTGACCTCAAACTCAAACTCAAAAAAAAAAAAAAGAAAAAAAAAAAAGGAAATGTGATTTATAAATGACAATGCAGTGTTTAAAGGCATATATCATATGTGTAAGAGTAGACGATGCACTGTAAAATAAGACTTTAAATGTTTGTTTTTTAGATTGTGTCTCAAAGGATAGCATTGCTTGTGTTTGTTGCAAAAAGAAAACTAGAACTGAATAAAAGAATACATGTGACTTTATAAAAATTAAAAGTGAGTGGTTAGTTTAAAAAAAAAAAGTAATGTAACGATTTCAAGTACTTTATTAAAGTAATGTAACTGATTACATTTTATTCTAAATTTGATTCTAAATTCCAAATGAATGTTTTCAACTGATAATCATTTATAATCAATCAAAGCAGGCAGGGTTAACCTTACAGTATTCAGCACTAATTACTATCAGACTTTCTTCATCACTTAAATTAAGATTATAATGATTTAATTTTAAAGCGCAGCCACCACAGAATCAGACTTTAGCAGCTCTTTTTACTTTGATATCGTTCTGAGGTTAAATACTGATTTAAAAACATAAGAAATAGTTTAATAACTGTGTTTTAAATCAAAAATTTGCATAGCTATGACAGCAAACACTGGCATCTAACCATGCCTTGGAGAAAAAAAACAAAACAGTTAATCTTAAAAAATAAAGCATATACATAAACCCATATAGAAAATAATAAAGCAGGTATCAAATAAGCATGTGTCCTATTCTTTATCAACATTGGTGTCTCATATTTTAGAGCAGGCAATGCAATTTAGGAAAGAAATCAATCAAATCTGTATATGTGTGAAAATATTCATCCTTTGCAATCAGTAACATAAGTAACTGTAATTTAATTACACACGACTGTTTTCTCAGTACCTGTAACAGATTACAGTTACATTTATTGAAATCAGACACTCGTTTTCTTAGACGCTTGCAGAAAAAGGCTTCCCAAAACTAAGTTACTGGGTTAATCTTTTTCATGTTTGCTTGGTTGGTAGATACACCGGAGACATGATTATAGCACTTACAACCTGGAAAAGTCAGATTTTCATGATATGTCACCTTTAAAGTTTTTACTTTTTTGAGTTATTGAAATGTGATGTTTTTTTGTTAGAAATAAATTATTACTCTGTCTCCTACTTTGTCTTTTCCCTATAGCATGGTCAGATTTGTCTGTAAGCATATTTTGGCATCTTTGTATAGTCTCACCCAACACAAATATATATCTAAAAAAAAAAATTCTACAATTTTAACTTGAGATAAAATCTAAAACTTAAGAGGTTAAGTTCATTACAACAATGGTTTATAGATTTCAGTCTATATGCAAATAGGCGAAATAGTGGCTATTGATATTTTGATATTTTGATACCGTCATATGTCACCAGAAGTCACCAAATTTTTAGGTTGTGGCTGTCTGAACTTACTGGAATTATTATTTTTTTTTTTTTACTGAAGTAAGTTATAACATACAAATATGCATATTTTACATAAAAAAATGGTACTTTTGGAGGTAAATAAATAAAAAAATTAAAAATGCATAAATTGATATATATATATATATATATATATATTTTTTTTTTTTTTTATCAAAGATAGTGATATGACATTTGTTAAAAAAAAAAATTAAAATTGGGATCACATCTGAGACCTTCATGCCCAAATTTGTCCACGAAGGACCAATTAAGGGCTGCTATACGAAGGATGCTTGAGGTTTAATGATTTTATGTTTGTTTTTTAATGTTATAAACCCCAAGAACTATTCTAAGTATTTTTTATAATTTCTTGCATTTTAGTGCAAAAAGAGATCAGCGAGCAGGAGTATGTATGTAGTGTGCATTGTCCGAGTAATAATGCTGTAATCATGGTTAGAAGTAGTATGTCACATGTGATGTGTGTCTCTGCTGCTGCAGGCGTCTTGTCCAGCTCAGTGGAACAGAAGATCTATGTTGAACTCAATGAAACGGTTCCGTGTGTCCGACTTCTGAACGCCACGCATCAGATCGGCTGCCAGTGTGAGTCATTCATTTACCTGCGGTGCATTTCAAACTCTGTGTTAGGATCGCTGTGATGTACGGCCTGATTGTTTTATTCATCTCTCAGCGTCTATATCAGGAGATACAGGAGTCCTCCATGTGCTGGAGACCGAATCAGACCTGGACTGGATCCTCAGCTCAGGACCGCATCCTCCGTACATGGTGATCATGGAGACGGCCTTCTTCAACAGGTGCTGTGACGTCCGTCTGTCTGTCTGTCTGTCTCTGTCTGTCTGTCTGTCTCTGTGTGTCTGTGTGTGTGTGTGTCTGTCTCTGTGTGTCTGAGCTCATGTGTTTCTCCTGCAGGTCGGTCATGATGAGGATGAAGAACTCGTCCAGAGTGGCTGGAGTCGCTGTGATCGTCTCAAAAACAGGCCTTGCTGATAATTTTTCACCTCACACGACCTGCCCCAACCAGAACACAGGTGTGTGTGACTGTGAGTGTGAGTGTGTGTGACTGTGAGCGTGTGAGTGTGTGTGACTGTGAGCGTGTGAGTGTGAGCGTGTGACTGAGCGTGTGACTGTGAGCGTGTGACTGTGAGCGTGTGACTGTGAGCGTGTGACTGTGAGCGTGTGTGCGTGTGACTGAGCGTGTGTGAGCGTGTGCGTGTGACTGAGCGTGTGACTGAGCGTGTGCGTGTGACTGTGAGCGTGTGCGTGTGACTGAGCGTGTGACTGAGCATGTGACTGAGCGTGTGCGTGTGACTGAGAGTGTGACTGTGAGAGTGTGATTGTGAGAGTGTGACTGAGTGTGTGACTGTGCGTGTGACTGTGCGTGTGACTGTGAGAGTGTGATTGTGAGCGTGTGACTGAGCGTGTGACTGTGCATGTGACTGTGAGAGAGTGTGACTGTGAGAGCGTGACTGTGAGTGTGCGTGACTGTGAGTGTGAGTGTGTGCGTGACTGTGAGTGTGACTGTGTGTGTGTGTGTGTGTGTGTGAGAGAGACTGTGAGTGTGCGTGACTGTGAGTGTGTGCATGACTGAGTGTGTGCGTGACTGAGTGTGTGCGTGACAGTGTGTGTGTGACTGTGAGCGTGTGTGCGTGTGACTGAGTGTGCGTGTGACTGTGTGACTGTGTGTGACTGTGTGTGTGACTGTGTGTACGTGTGACTGAGTGTGCGTGTGACTGTGTGACTGTGTGTGACTGTGTGTGTGACTGTGTGTACGTGTGACTGAGTGTGCGTGTGACTGTGTGACTGTGTGTGACTGTGTGTGTGACTGTGTGTACGTGTGACTGAGTGTGCGTGTGACTGTGTGACTGTGTGTGACTGTGTGTGTGACTGTGTGTACGTGTGACTGAGTGTGCGTGTGACTGACTGTGTGTGACTGTGAGTGTGACTGTGAGTGTGAGTGTGTGTGTGACTGTGTGTACGTGTGACTGAGTGTGACTGTGTGTACGTGTGTGTGACTGTGAGTGTGACTGTGAGTGTGAGTGTGTGTGTGACTGTGTGTGCGTGTGACTGAGTGTGCGTGTGACTGACTGTGTGTGACTGTGAGTGTGTGTGTGACTGTGTGTGCGTGTGACTGAGTGTGCGTGTGACTGTGTGACTGTGTGTGACTGTGTGTGACTGTGTGTGAGTGTGAGTGTGTTGTGTGTCTGTGTGTGTGTGTGTGTGTGAGTGTGTGTGACTGTGAGTGTGTGTGTGACTGTGAGTGTGTGTGTGACTGACTGTGTGTGACTGACTGTGTGTGACTGACTGTGTGCGTGTGACTGTGTGCGTGTGACTGTGCGTGTGTGCGCGTGTGTGCGTGCGCGTGCGTGTGTGCGTGCGTGCGTGTGTGCGCGTGAGTGTGTGCGTGAGTGTGTGTGTGACTGTGTGTGTGTGACTGTGTGTGAGTGTGTGTGTGTGTGTGTGTGTGTGTGTGTGTGTGTGTGTGTGTGTGTGTGTGTGTGTGTGTGCGATTGATGTCTATTACAAGTTGAATGGTTTGTTAGTCCTTCATCTCATCAACATGACATTCAGATGAAATTTATGATATTAAACATGAGTTTAACAACTTGATTATTTTGTCTTTACAGACGTTAGTCGGTTTCCTTAAAGAAAATGCCAGTCTACTTTTCTTATATTTTCAATATTTTATTTTCATTATTATTATTATTATTTAATTATAATTATTTTAGTTACTTATTTTAACCTATAGGCACAATAGATTTGAATTCAATTGGTCTAAAAGCATCAAATTATCTATTAAAATTGTTTTAATATCTTAGAAGTTTCAGGTAAAATCACTCTTTTACATATTTCCATAATTATGTACAATGAAGTCTATGCTATTTTGTCACAAATTACTGAGTTTTATAGACACACACAAATTCAGTTTTAAATAATTTTTTTAATCACTTGATGACCCTTGAAAATGTTGCCAGTCAGGATCATAAAAATATTTCCGTGATCGTTTATTCAGTTCACACAGTGCAATGTTACAGAAAAAGATTTACAGCTTTAAAAACATAAAATATGTTAAAGATTTGCTGATTTGTGTGGATTCTGTTGGGATAGAAATAGATTAATACATTGAAATATGAATTTATTGTATATCATTATTATTAATTAATTAATTATTATATTAAATATCATTATTAATTATTAAAATTAATTTGTCATTTAGCGTTTCATGTAAATATATCTTGATTTTGGAGTGTTTATATAAATGTTGCATATTATTTTACACAACAAAACGTGATTTCATTGCAATTGCAATCATGCATGAAATAAAGTTATTAATAAAATGTTCTTGACATTCTTAAATCAATAAATATATTTACATGAGATGCTGAATGACATAAGATAACAACCTGTTTTTTGAGAAATGTATGAAAATTAATTGAGGTTTATGCTTAAAACGAGAAAAAATAAGAAATAAATAAGAAAAATAATCTTGTTTTCCCTTTGAATTGCGTTTATTTTTCTGAGCCTTTTGGCAGATATTTTTGTTGTTTTTTTAAACACAAACACTTCATTTTGATAAGTTTGTAAGAAAACAAGACTTCTTATCTTATGCGATTTTGCATCTCAAGAAAATGATTGTCTTGATGTAAGAATATTTCGATATTTGCACTGGAAAACAAAACAAAAACCCAAAAATACAGTGTTTTATGATGAACTTGTGGAGAAAAGAACGTGATGAAATTGAAATAAAATGGGGAAAACTGAAGAAATGCTGAGCAGTTACAACACTTTCCCACATACGTGTGAAGCTCAGTGTGTGTGATTGTGTTTTCTCGTGTTTCAGGTGTGTATTCTGCGAGTTACGGCTCTGATCTAGCGAACTGTAACGTGACCGTGTGGAATCCTCTGGGGAACGGACTGTCCTATGAAGACTTCGCTTTCCCTGTGTTTGCTCTGAAAGACGAGAATCAGACTCAGGTCATCCGTAAGGTGAGTGTCTCTCTCTCAGGTGTGTGCATGTGTTCATCACA